GTTGAGTCCCCATCCCTGGAGGTATTTAAAAGTCAGGTAGATGTGGTGCTTAGGGCTGTGGTTTAGTGGTGGACTTGGCAGTGCTAGGATAACAGTTGCACTTGATCTTAAAGGTCTTTTCCAACCTAAATGGTTCTATGATTCTAAGATGGACTTTGTCCTATTCCAGTTTAGAAACTGATCCTGTCTACCCTAACCTGCCTAAAAGTTAAGGATGTAGCCTAGCTAGGCTGGAACCTGGACTAGGAATCCAAGTTGTCTAGGGGTGCACTAGAGGCAACGTAGGAGATGATAGGTAGTTCAGCTCACCTGGCTGAGGATAGAATGGGTCAGCTCTGGAGATGCCTTTTTCCACTGACTGAAGCAGAAGCGTAGTTCAACTGCAAATTGAAACAAAAAAAGAAAACAAAAAATAGTCTGGGTGACTAACTTCAAAAGGCAAGGTATGGGCTAATTGTGTGGAGGCAGGAATTTTAGACAATATATAAGAAGTAGTTATTGAAAAATCAAGAATATTTTTGCAAGTTAAAGAGGAAAGTGATCCATATTTCATTTACAAGTAATAGTAGTAATAAGTAATTAAAGTTTTTAAGGGTAACTTCTTCCAAAATTTCAAGTTTAACTAACTAACTAACTAACTAACTAACTAACTAACTAACTAATATATGTTCTTACCATTCCAGTTTCCTTTTAGGACAGAGAGGAATATATCCAGTAAAAATACAATGCAGTGGGAAATGAAAAAAGTCAATTTAAAAATCAATCCTTTGAGTTTTTCTATCGACTTCTCTTAGAAATAACACCCAGAATTTTTATAACTGAAATGGATCATAAAAAAATCTCAATGTGTTCAATTATTTATTTTATGCTTTTGAAAACACTTTTGGGTAATGGGTTTCACTTTTTCACTTTTCATATACCTCATTCTTTCACACAGAAAAATAGAAACCATTAAAAAATGGAAGACGATAACATTGTTTTGTTTTTGTTCATACTTGTGCTTATGAGTTGGTGCTGGTCTTACAGATACACATGATGGGCTTAAAGCCATGATACAGATAATACACCACAAGGGATGATTTTTAACAAACTGATTTCTATATAGAACTAAATGTTTATATAATATAAGGGCTTTGTGGAGATTTAAACCAGGAAGTTAATTTATTTTGGAAAGCAAAGTGTAGAAGGGAAGGTTTGGGAGCATTGAAAGAACAATGGAATCAATTGTAATAGTCAATGAAAATGTAATTGGTCCCTAAATCCCAACATACATCACTTTCCTGTGGCCATGTTAGAGATGTAGGATGTGAATGAGCAAAGAAATAAGGCAGTAAGAGTACTCTTGGTGATACAATGCAAAAGGAGAAAGCAAATACAGACCATGACTCTGTTGATCTGTTGCACCTATTAGTCTCTGTTGAACCTCCATGGAAAAGCATCAACACTAACTTGAAGGGGTCTACTTGTTATTTGACTTGGAGACAGCTAGGAAAGTGACTCAAACGGTACAGCAAACATTCACCAAAGAATGGCAAAATAGCCTGAAGATTGGTCAAATCACATAAAGGGTAAGAAGTGTCAGGAAAAATCTAGAGAAAGGGTTGCTGAGTTACAGTGGATAAATGGAGCCTTTGGACACCTGTTAAAATATCGTGTCCGTCTGGAGGTCTTTCCCGTAGCGTGCTTTGTTTTGTAAGCGTTCAATGAGATATTAAGCCCTGCAGCAGAGAGTTCTGGTGGGGCACCGGAGGACAAACTCATGGAGTCTCCAGTCTTTTTACTCATTCTGCTGCTGATCCCTGACTTTTGCAGGATTTGTGGAAAGAGTAGGGGGATATACCAAGTTAGGAGGTAGGCCCATTTTGAGGTAAATCCTCTTTTCATGCCACGATATGGAGGGGGTGCCTCTGGAAATGACATATCCATAAGATTTCCATTGAAGACACTTGCTGAAGCCCTTCTTCCAATACGCGCTCCTATAATTTGCCATTAAAAGGCTCTATTGCTAGTGAAGAGGTTTACTCTTACTAATTTATTAGCAGTTTATTACTAATCAGCTGTGAGATGACTGAATTCTTAACAACTGTTCTAGTACCCATCAGTCCTTTTTAAGTACCAAAGGGTTTGTCCCAGTAAGCCTTTTTTACATTCCACATTACACTTTTTTTACAACTTTCACAATTTTCTGCGCATCCTTTTTCCTCATGGAGAATCTGGTGAGTATTTTATATGGTGGAACTCCTCCTGTCAAGACTTTAGAACTGTTTTATTTAGCAACATTGCTTTTGCAGTCTTTTAAAAGAGTTTTTTTAAAGCTTGGCCCAAATTAGAAAAAATATCTGTCAGCTAAAAAAAGTGTTCATGGAAATCTAGATAATCACAACCTGTGTGATAAGGTGTCCTCTTGCATTATTGATTTGTCATACATAGTTTTTCAATCAATATAGTCTTCTTCCCAAAATTTTGGAATTATAACTCAGCATTCTAGCATCTGGACTAAAAGTCAGTCTTTGTTGAGTGTACTGAGAAGATTTTAAAGGGTAAACAGTCTTCTGAAAGCTTCTAGCCTCTGGGAACTAGATCAATTAAAATTGCTCAGTGATGAATGAGAGCAGTGAAATAATTTCAGTCTAAAACTTTTTCATTCCTTTTTTTTTTTTTAAATTTAGGGTGTTTTGAGATGTAATTTTTATATGTCTGAAACACCTGGAATCCAGTGAGGAAATAATGGAAGTGCTGTACAGAGTGAAATCACTGTTCTTTATCCAAAGATTTGGAAGGGAAAAATAAAGATATGACACAATAGAAAATAAAGGATATGACACAACAGATGAGAGTGTCAAACAAGCCAGTCCAGGGGCTGGAGGGATGATTAAAACAGTAGTATCACAGGCAGAAGCTATGAGTAATGAGAAACCATGGCTACAACTTGCTAGTTCAATTTCTGCTACAGATTTTTTGTGAAGGCCTGAAAGACACTTTGAGCTAAACCTTTGAAAAGTTCTTGTTTACTGTGTCAGAGTATTCTACTTGCGGGAAATAGGATTCAAGAGAGACAGTGTATTGATTGGGGAGCGACCCATTATTGACTGAGAAGAGGGATTTGTCTTAAATCTGGCACTTTCATAAAACTCAGTACCTTCCTGTCTAGGTAGTTCCCGTTCCTATCTCTGCACATGTTATTTTGGGCTGCTGGAAGGTCCTTCATGTTAGATGTCACAGGCCTAAATTTTTGTTTGGATGACTGATTGCTTTCTTCTAAAGCATGAGGAAGGATCCTTTAATAAATGTAGCCGAGTTGCAACTCCATAATATTGTGCCCTTTTGAGATATTGTAGAGAGCTGATAGTGCAAAAGGACGAGCTGTCTCAAACAGCCTCGGGGCTAAAACCAGAATGCAGAGCGGGGGTCACTAGGACCCAGGACTGGGCAGTGCCTGGAGCGAGGGTGAGGGGGGGAGTCCTGTGGAGACCGATGGTCTTGCCTCGCCCCATCCCCATCCTCCACGGTCTATGAAACCCTGATAAAGCGCCTTATCTCCCCCACACGGCCTCCTGGGGGAGGGTCCTGGTATCATTTCTCTTGATTTGACTGGTTGCCCCTCTTAATTTGACTGGTATCTCTACTAATCCTGGGACTGGGAAGCGAGAAGATTCCAGAATTCCAGAGACCGAAATCTATAAATAGGGACCCTCACTCTCTCTCGCCCTCTTTTCCCCACTGAATACCCCCGTTGGTAGGTCCAATGCTGGATCCAGGACTGGTGATTCTCCTCTTCTTTCCTCTCTCTCTTTCTCTCTTTCACTTCTCCTAAGGTTATTAAGTTGTTAAAGTTATTAAATTGTAGTTAAGTACTGCACAGCCTACCTTGATTTTCCATAAAGCCGCATAGGTTAGCCGTATAGCTGGGGTAGATATAATCGTGAGAGGGCTGGCGGGTAGCGAATATTTGTACTCAATATTTGTTTCTATAGAAGCTTTCTGTTAAAGCTGGTGATTGTGTACGGACCTTGAGTGTTGGTTCACCTTAATCCACCCCAAGAGGACTTGCGAATCTTAGTTGCTCCTTCCCCCTTCCCCTGGGTGGGACGTGACAGATATTGATTGTATTTTGCTGTTTTTCTCTGCTTCTGCTATCTGTTGGGAGAGGGACCTCAAGGCCCTCAGGAAAGGCATTGCTGGGAGCGAGCTGCGGGTCAGGCAGGTTGTCCTGGCAGGCAGCGTATCAGCTCTGTTGCGGTAACCTTTGCTACAGCTAGTAACAGATACGATGGCATGCCTGGTTTACAGCCGGCCTAGTGTGGTGGCCATCACAGAAAACTGTATGAGAAGAATCAGGTCATCAAGGCTGGGTAGAGGCTCTATTGAACAAAAAAAAAAAAAAAAGAAAAAAAGAAGGTAAATTAGGCTCTGTTGCATTTGGAAACAGACCTTGGTACCTGCCAACAAGAGGCAGCTACAGTGACATACTTGATGGTGAAGACAATGTCTGTCCTGGAGAGCACCAGGCAAACTCCAGCTGATGAAAGGTAAAAGCAAGTGGCTTAGATTTGAGTCAGCAAAAGAGAATACCATCAGGGTGTAGCTTGAATATTTTGGTCATTCCAAGCTTATTACTTTTTAGCAGTCAAAGACAAGCCTTGTACATTTTGTATTCAATTTTATCAACATATTTTGACTTTTTTGCCCTTTTCTTGTGCTGTATAATTGTATGCAAGTTCCACTTGCCAGTGACCTGATTGGATGTCTCTCTTTTCTTTTTGGTTTCTGTAGGATAAAATCGTGGGTAGACAAGATGCAAGAAGATCTTGTAACATTAGCACGAACTGCAAGTGGAGTGGACCAGCTTGCTGCGGTAAGAAGATGCGCCTTAGACTGCAATAACTAGAAAGTGAAGTGAATGGTGTGGATCATCTAGGCATTATGATCATTTCATCCCAACATAGTAAAAAGATTTTGGGGAATTAAACTTTGCAGTGCTTACTGAGAAAGAAATGAACAACACAGACATCCATCAGTTCACTCTCTTAATGTTGCAGCACTTGCTCATTGCTAATATTTAATCAGCTTTGCAGTATCAGACATAAGGCTTACCATTGTTGCAACACTTCCACCTGAAGCAAGCGCTTTTATGTTATAAGTTTGTCAAATATGGTATCCAGGAAGCAACCATTCATGGCAGTGGAAAATTCTGCTATCTATTAACAAGGGAGACTATTTTTCTGACACATATTTCCTGAAATGAGGCAGCTTTTGGTCAGAAGAAATGTAGATGAGAATGAAAAATACTTTTATTCAGCTGTTCCAATTTAACCCAAAGTGTGTTTTAGGGAAGAATTTACAATTCTTCTGTCATTGAGAAGAAACTTTTGTGATATATTCCATTCACAGAAGGTAAAACCACGTCTGAGATTGCAGAAAAATGAAGTCACAATTCAGAAAATGTCAGGGTTGCGCTGCCTATGCAACTTTTTGTGTATGCATCATGATCCAGTACGCAATCACATGATCATACATTTCCCTCTGCCCATCCCTGCACAAGTCCCATGGCTCCTTCTGTGAACCAAGGGATCTCTGGGTTGATCTAGGACTCTATAATGAAGGGATACTTTGCTGTTATGTCAGGAAAAGTTGTTCTGTCAGCCAACAAAAGCCCTTGGTGCTGGGGAACTGAACATGAAGCCATGACATTTGGCTTGCAGAAGTCATAATCTCCCTAGACGATCCATGAAATGAATAGTAGCTGTGTTTCAAAGCCATTAAGAAATGTATATTAATGTATTCCTTTGACCTTAATGACTTTTTACCCAGACATCCACACGCCTCATATGAGTCCTTTCCCAGGAGGACATTTTCTCTTTCCTGATGATAGAGGAGGCTAGATGACTAGCTCAGATGTCCACATTTATACTGTGGAAGCTTCAGTTTAGATGAGATCACCACTGTCCTATAGAAGGAAGGGCTGTGTCACTGAATGTACATGAGGAACATAAATGAAGATTGCAGAGGTTATTTTAGTTCTGGCCTTTCCTAATATTTGAGAGCTTCATATGGGAACACAGTTTAAGGCAGATGCTTTAGATGCACTTTTTAATCTTGGAAAACTCCAAGCAAACTGAAAACGAAATCTTGAAATCCTAACACAAAGCGTCAGATTGATACACACATGGGTTTCCTGCATAGGATCTCAACAACACAGAAATGTCTGTCACTTGAGCTTTCTGAGGAACCATAAGGTTTACCCAGCATGGAACACTGATGGAAGTTTTTGTAGGTGGATTTCCCACCTATCTGCTGACAGAGAACAACGATGCTTGCGAATCATTTGTCTCTCTCCAGATTTTGGTGAGGAGTTTCTCCTAAGGGAGGGCCCTTTTTGCTCATCTGATCTAGGTGTGATCTGTTCTCTTCTGCACTTGCCGTGTCTCTTTTTCCCCACCATCTCCTCATTCAGCATCATACCCCTGATCCACCACTGGACTTCCTGTTCCGTTCCTGCTGTGCTGTGTGGGCTATCTTTCATCTCTCCTCAACATATTCTGTTTCTGTTTCAGTTTCTACCTTTGCTGCCTGGCCAGTCTGCCTTTCTCCGTTACATTGGCTTCTTATCCCTATTTCAGGATCTCTCTCCTCAGCTTTTTCCAGTTCAGCACCTCTCTCTGGACTCTTTAGTTTGCCTTAGCATTTCCAAAATATTCTGTCCAGGTGTGTGTGGCCAGCCTGTCCCAATACCCCTATTGCATCTCTTCTCTTCCACAGGTATTTTTCTTCTCCCTTTTCACCCTTTCCCTCCATCACTAGTTCTCAGTCCCAAACCTGTAGTTTTCTCCTGTATGCTTTTTCTATTTCTCCTCCCCTTCTAGTCCCTTCTCTCCTTATTCTTTGACTACCATTTTCCAGTCCGTTATCTCCTACTTCCATATCCTAATCTCTTGCCCTTTGTTCTTCCTTCAGTTTTCATCTCCTCTTTCTCCCACTGCTTAGACCGCAAGGGTATAGAGATTACCTGAGAGACCACAGCAAGTCTGAGCTGTAGCTGCAGAGGAGGTATGATGTTCTCTAGGAGTGATGCTTTCTGGGCTGGAATACACCTGTGTGTAGTTTCTCAGGGATTTAGCTGATAAATCTCTGCAGTGACCTGCAGGTGCTTTTCAGGCTAAAACTCGTTAAATTCCAAGGAGTAAAAAGTGTATATTTGAATAGATGTGTTAAGTTTTTAAACTACAGTGCAGGGGCAATAGGGTATTTCAAAGGGAAATGAGTTACAGAGGATTTCTAACTTGAGCAAAACAATGAGTTAATATCTCAACCATTTTGCCTGGCTTTTCCATGCAAAGACCACACAGTAAAATAGATAATGAAAAGCCAAGAGATTGACGCTGTCACTCTTTTTTTCCCTGAGAAAAATTTTAGTTGATGTAGTTAATATTCGGCAAACTTGCAAGCTGCTAAAACAGTCTTATAATGAGAACTGCTGGGCAAACATAATAATATGTAGTGCTATACTTAAAGCTATATTTAAGGTGTACCACAGTGACATTCACGCTGAAAAAAACCACATTAGTCTGTGAATACTGTAGGTAAGTTTCTTTTTCAAAGCTGAAATTTATAGCACACTTCAAGCAAATAATAAGTTATCTCAGAGGGTATCCATAAGGTGGTCAATATGTGCTTGTAATCCTAGGATTAAAAGCATGAAAGGGGGATGTTTCCATGTAAAATATCCCTCTATATCAAAGCCGTTTGTTTGACCTAAATTGCATGATGTCTTTCTGTAGCCACAAGCTTTTAATTAGCTCTCTTGCTTGGAAGGGAGAATGCAAAGCCTTGTGAGGTGTGAGCCATGCAGTCTCTCCCTCGTTCCTCTTGTTTACAGGCTATTGTCACTTTTCCATTTTTGAATGACATCCTTTTTTTTTTTCTGCTCGCTGCTTATTAACTTTTAGTTAGATCTCTTCTGAAATGAACCACAGTCTTGGAAAAATGGAGACTACACGACATGAAAAACAGTGTGCTTGCATGCCTGTCACTTTTATTCACAGAACTTGCCTTCATTTGCTCAAGCTTTAAAAATACTTAACAGTCAGACTGACTTTTCAGCTTTGCTTCTGACTTATTACTTCTTCTAACTCTGGAATTGTTTGGACCAAGTCTGTAGTCTTCATGTTTTTGGAAAACTTCAAAAAATGAAATACATTTGTGTGGTTTTCCTGCCCCTCCTCGTCCCTCCAAAAGCAGAATGATTAATACAAAAAGAAGGAGCAGAGTGCTCCTATTATAAAATAGTAGACGTGACTTTCTGTGAACAGCTGTAGTACCAGCGTGTGTAGGGCTGGAAAGCTGTACTTTGGTCAGACAGATTTTTGGTAGGAGAAATGTCTTTCCTTGTTCTAGGGAAAATCAATTTTAATTTGGCCAAGTGATGAGGTTAAAGCTCATAGCAAGGATGTGTAACAGATTATAACCATTTCGCAGCCTGGTCAACCAGTCCCTGGACTCAGGGAAAGAAGTCCCACTGATTCAGTTGAAGTTACAGTCTGTGTCTGCTTCATACAGTTGAGTCTTCTATGAAGACCTCTGAAGTGACCAAGAGAGCTCTCAAAGTAGCATAATTACTGTGTTCTCAGCTGGAGTGAATGAGTTCTTCAAAACCAGGGCTTTTTCAAGTAGCTGCTGTGCCATGCAAGTTTATGGTGTTTCTATAACTTGTTGAAGGTATCTCAGGGTTCATCAGTACTGTACATGCTTGTATGTGTGTTGGATGTCTGTGGGTCTTTGTGCTGCAGGGAATTATGCTACACAATGGTCTTTTCTGGAGAACCATGAAGTATTTTCTTCTGGCCATCGCGGAGAGGCACAGGAGCAGTGCCTGGACTCTCAGTTTGATTTTAGACTGGGAGAGCTCTTGACCAGAGAGAATGTAAAACTTAGAGTGTAATATGTACTTCCAAAGGAATAAAAAAATTCAAATCTAAACCACCATTAAACTCAAGTGAGGGACTCGTTAGGTGAATAGCAGACCTGTCGAGATCAGTACCTATGTAAACGTCTTATTTATTCTGCAGTGTGGACATAGATATCCAGGGAGAGCATTTTTTGTATTTAAGGTGTTTACATTCAACATGTAGTCAATTTAATGGAATCGTGTTTAAGGAGAGGAATCTCCTCAGCAGAAAATTCCCTTTTTTTGTTCATTGACAAATTTCTTAAAGTGACTTGGAATCACAGTCTTGTCCAAGCAACTAACCACTCTTCCTCTTGCTTTTGCACGTATAATAGAGCCATTGTAAACCATTGCAACTTTCTTTGTTCACAACTTCTGAAAATATCTGTATAGCGAGGATACACAATAATATACTAATGAATATTCCACAGAAAAAGAGAAAATATTTGGGAATTGATTTAGTGAATTACTTCAATAGTGACTGTTTCTGAAAATATGAATATGTTTATGCCAATGGACATTTCACACACCTTATTAGCAATGATGACAGCAATGTAATGCCTGTAGGAAGCAAAATTGCAAAAGAAAGCTTGGATGCCATTAAATTAGGAGTTCTACATTGAGGCTACACTTATCCATAGCCTTAACCAAGCAAACCAGTGTAACGGGAATAGAAGGAACAGGCAAGATGGATATGTGTAGGAGATGGAGAGGCAGGCGAGAGCTGAGGTTTATTATGGTGCGCAGAGGAAACATGGTCTTTAATTTATAGATGCGCCTTTACTCACTAATTGATATTTGCCATACAGGCAGCGTCCTGATCTAACCAAGAATTGAGCTCAGATTTTCATTTTTCCATTTAGAACTTTAACTCCAGATCATTCTTCCTCTGAATTAGTTGTGGTAAATTA